AGTTTGCTGAGAGCCTGGCCCTCCCTGCAAGTGGCCTCCTGTGCTCATACAAAGATCTATCAAAATCTGCCTTTTCCGAAAACAAGGGCTTGCTCTGTCTGGTTGGAACTCCAAGAGCAGAGCCCATATATGCATATACTGACAACATTTTATGGAACTTTGCATAAGGAATAATAAAAATGTTTCAATTGGTTAGTTAGCTTAAGGCTCTATGGTTAGGCTTTCCCAGGTCTACAGACATAGCACAAAAAGTGACACCATGTACTCCACACCCATCAGAACCTATCATTCCAAGACTCACAATTAATTCCAAATGATCTCAAAATAATCTCATTTTCCTTTAAGAAAAGAAAGTGGCAGAGCTACTTGAAGGGAGATAGGGGTTTGGATCCTGACTTCTCAAGTGTACACAGTGGGCCAGGACAACAGCCCTGATCAGGAATAAAGGCTGGATTTCCCTTCCCTAATCAGCTCCCTCCCAAGGACTGAAGCACACAACACTTTCAATCTTCAGGGCCAGCTCCTCTCCCTGCCAGGGTGAGATCTGTGCAGGAGGTACTGGGTCCACCTAAACTAAAATTGTATTTTAACTGTGTGGGTGCAGGATCTGACTCAGCACACATCAAACGAGTGACCAAAGTGAGGGGGATTTCTGGTGATAACCTCCTGTTAGGAAAAGGGAAGCTATGTGTGCTAACACCCTGAAGAAAGTCATTCAGGAGTGGAAAAAACTTGGAGAGATTTGCCAATACAAGTCATCCCCAGGATTCAGTATAGCTGACCAGCAAATATTTCTACATAAGAAATGAAAATGCAAGTGAATTTAGGACTAGTTAAATAAAAATACTGCAAACAAAAATATAAATGCAAAGTTAATATCAGCTCTGGTGTCTTCCATTACTGATATAAACTGAAGAGAAATACCCTCTTAGCAAACTTAAATGCCACAACAGCAAAACTCTCAAGAGTGATACTACTAGTGATTTTATAATCACTAGTAGTAAAGTTCATATTCTTGTACACCCAAGTTGTAAAAGAAACAGCCCTTCTAACAAATTCAAGCCTCTCTCAAAAATGCACATGTCCATAAGTCCTTGTCTCCAATTAAAACAAAGGGCCCAGAAGAGCAATTATTTACTTCTGGGCATTATAAAGACTTTCTCTGCTTTAATTTATTTTCAACAGTCAAAATGTTTAGTCAAACAAATGAAATTGCGTTTTTTAAAAAATAAAAGTGCTACCTTTTAATGGACTTTTTGCAGTCACTCAGAGATTTGTGGAATTTTGAGTACAAATGTGTGCAAAACCCTGAACTTGGTGAAGAAACTACTCCTGCTTTTTTATGGTTGTTAATTTTTCAGGGACACACTGAAATTATTTAGTCTGTACTGATTCTCTATGAAACTCGTCCCTGTGCACAGAAACACACAGTTTTATGTCATACAAGACTTCAGAAAAACAGCAATACAGAAACCACCACATGAGATGAAACCTGGGGCTCACAAGTCCAGAACTGAGAGAGCCAGGACCAGGTATTTACAGGGAGGTTTAAGTGAAGCGCAGTTAATAGAGAACCAGTGATTTATTTAATTCCAGCTTCTATGCCTTTTACTTTATAGTTTGTGAATAAATCCCTTATGCATCTGAGACCTGAGTGGAGAGTAATTAGGTGAATCCTGTGGTTTTGTTCAAGTGTAACACTGGCAACCAGATTCTGATTGTGAAAACTGTGAATCCAATTTTCACTCACAATGGCCATTCCTTAGAGTTTGTTCTGTACCTGCCAGTAATTTGATGTGCTGCAATAGTCCTCACTTGCTCAAACCTCTGAATATTTCAAAAAGGCACTGTTGGAGTACAAAAAACTTCTGAAAGAATTGCTATGCCATTTACCAGAGCTCTAATGGAATACACTTCTAAGATATTTTTTGCCTCAAAATAGTTATTCAGAGCTTTTATTATTTCCTACAGAACCCAAATTTATGCCTTGAAATGAAAATATAAGATGCCCCCAGTTGTTCAAAATATTTAAAATTAAAAAATTAAAAAGTAAGCCTTCTCCTGATGGATTTTCTATATTATAGATAATTTCTGGTTCTCAATTTGTGTACTGCATAGAAATTGTGTAATAACAATGTAACCATACTGTAAGAATGCTTTCAAAGCCTCTGAGAATGCCAGTAGCCTGACAAATTTTAAAATACAGATATTTTTCAGAACGTTAATTATTGTTAAGAATTGTTAATTATTGTTAAGAATTGTTGCTAATCAAATATCTATGGAAAATTCTGCTTTTGGACAGTACTGCAACAGTAACTCAGTACCTCAGTCACCACGCAGCCTTGCAGGCTTACAGCATCTTACCCCACAAATATCGACAGAACTGGGACCTCATCAAAAATCTAAATAATTTTTAGAACACTTGGATTCATATTTTAAGTTTGTAAAGAGAAATGAAAAGTCCTAAATCAGCTTGCATTTCAGTACCAGTGTTAAAGACCAGCACTCCATGTTGAGTTGCCTGATTGAGCCAAGCCTGTTACTTCACACAGACATGTATATATTACACAATAATGCAGTTATTTCATGGAAACATATGGAGTATGCATGAAGATATATGGTGCTCATGGAGCAGAAGTATCCGTGGTAGCTCATTTTTTATACCACATAAAGCCTACAAGCATCACCATTAAGGGGAAAGGAGGCCATAAATTAATTCACTACGGAGAGCAAACAGTTCAGAGAGTAATGGAAGTACAGGATGGCCTGGGTTGGAAGGGATCTCAGAGATCATCTTGGGCCACTTCTTGAGCTTGTCCAATTTGTTTGAAACTTTTTGGAGGATCTAATCTCTTCCTTTGGACTTTGGTTCTTGAAAAAAATGCCACTAACTGCCAGATACATAAACCAAGCAATTTTTGAGTGTGGCGGACAAAGAAAGAAAGTATGGAAGGTGTAAGGATGAGGTGGGAAAAAGTAATTTATTCCCAGAAAATAAAGTTTTGGTGATGAATTTTATTTCACTTTTTTAAAAATATTTTTTTTTAAATTGTCCTGTCAAAGACATATTTGAGGAAATCTTTCTAAATTACACTGATTTTTGTTTCAGAAAAATGATTAATGATATTTAAAGAGAGGCTGTTAAAAAATAAATTAAATTATCTATTTGAGCCATAATGATTTGTTTTCTTGATAAGTCATACTTATAAATAAAACAATTATTATTCCAAATCAATCAAAGCATTACAATTTCATTACAATTTATATCTGTAAGGCAAACACCATGACAAATTCTGCAGGAGACATCTTGATATAAGAAGAAAAAATCAGATAGTATCAACAGCCATCTTTTTTCTAGAGCTGGTAAAGTTAATGGATTAATTTATTGTTGATAATTATATCTAGTAATGCTTTGAACAAAATATTATAATAAAATACCAGAATAATGAATCCTGGAGAAATTACTAATTTGGATATGCTAAAGATCCACAAAATGCCCAGATGTTGGGGGCAAAAAAAATTTTGTTGTTGCTGCTTTTTTGTTCTTTGATCAGTAGTCCAAACTTTTAATATAAAATTCTTTTGCAAAGTTCTTAAGACTAACATTTGTAATCACTAGGTACTTCTAGACCAAGATTTGCTCCTTCTTTGCAAGGGTGATTGCAGACTAATTTGCAAACAAAACCCAGGAATATAACGCTAGGCAAAATGCAGCACAGGCTGAAGCAGATATCCATTTTTTTTAAAGGACATAAAAGGTATTGGGAGCAATTTGTCTAAAAAAAATTCAGGAGGAGATCCAAAGGGATGAAATTTCTCCGTGGTGAACTGAGAAAGCTTTTTAAGTGTTGGCAGCACCACAGAAAAACCCACTGTCATGAAGTTAGAATAATGAGAGGATGATCAAAGAACAGTTTATCTAAATTAAAGGTGAGATTAACAGCACTGATAAAAAGGGAGAGCAATGGACTATTTTAACATAAAATAAGAAAAATACTTGCAAAGGAACACCGTGATCTTATTTATTATTTTGGCTGTATTTGGTTATTCTAGCCAAGGCTAAGATAAGCCTATAAAAAACCACAAAAACTTTTAATCTAAGGCAAATCTTATCTATATACTGTGAACATAATATTCCATCCAAAATGGCAACTTTAATTCATTTTGTCCACATCATTCTATTTAAAAAAAGGATAAAAATTATCAAATGTGTGTAGGCACCATTAAAGCTGCACTGCATGTAAATGATATTACCCAATGCCCTCATAATTATAAATGGGGTGGACAAAAAAACTACAAACAACAACAGCCAGCCAAACTAAAATTCCACAAGTAAAACACAGAATTCAGCCTACAAGCCTAGGCACAGCAAGAGTGCAATTTGGTGCTTTACCTTAATTTTTTTCATACCAATCATACAAGATCACTGGAAACCTGTAATTTCATTAAGTTCTCAATTGTATTTTGTTAATTTCAGAAATGGTGTTTATGAATTACCAAAGCCACCTCTATTTCCCAACAGCCACTAGAGCATTGCTTTGCCATTCCCATGGTGTTAAAATACCTTCCTTTGAGTTCCCAGCACATGGTTTTGTTTGCAATGCTGAAATACTGGTAGGTAGAGGAAAACTGATAGCAAAAAAAAAAAAGCTTCACTAGTAAGATTTTGATAAAAACAAAAAAGCCCATAAATATCAATGCAAAATTTGAGGAAACAAGGAGAAAATAAAAGAAGGAAGAGAAATAATAAAAGTTCAAATATCTGGAAAATGTGATAAATTTCCTAATTGAAAATCATAGAACTCTTAAAATTTTAACTGTTTTGGTTTTGAGTCTTTTAAATTAAGAACTAACAAAAGCTTTTTGAATATATTTATAATATATTTTGCAAATTTTATCCAACAATTCAGAACACCAATCTCCCAGAATTAGACATTTGTCAAATGTCTGGAAAACATTTTTTTTTCTGAAAAAAAATATGACTATGCATATTTGCTTACCTGGTCAGTTAAACAAAATTCACTAGCTGGAGCAGAACACATTGTAAAAGAAACCTGCAAAGAGGAAAAAAAGCTTCATTATAATTTATTTATCTCTCTCATATTTTTGATAAAAAAATGTAGTAATGAGTGGTTATCCTTATATAGAAACTGCAAGCATCAATATCATTCTAAATGAAAAGCCTCTGAAAATCTAGCAGGTCCCTGTTTGTTCAGAAGATTCCTGACTGTGTGGCAGGATTACACTTATAAACAGAACTAAACTAAACAGATATACCAAACCATGCTATTTAAAGAAAGGTTTCTTAAGGGTATCTGTTACATAGGTGATATCAACTTTTGTATATTTTTATTCAAATCCAAATATATAACTATCATAACTATAAAGGATACTCATACATTGAGATGGTGAAAAAAAAAGGTAGGTATTTCTCATTAAATGCTCTTCAGGGCACTGAAATACACAGAGTTACTCTACTTTCTATAGTATTTCAAATAAATATAGTGTCAAAAAAACATTATTAAGACTGTTATGTGATGAATGTTAACATCAAAAAATGCCAAGTTTTTAGCCTTCCTGAGCAACTTTTATTTCTTCAATGAGTACAGAATATGCAACAGTTCTTAATTACTTAGTCACACAGTATTTCCATGGGAACTCCTCTTGAGCCTCTGCAGAAAGACATTAAAAAAGTTCAAGCACTGGTATTTTGTGAAATTTCACTGATTGACCTGTGGTTTGGAGAGACATTAAATAAGTAGTATTCAAATCCTCATAGAAAAAAAACAGTGATAATTTTGCTATGGTCCATATATTCTAATCATGAATGCTTTAACTGTGTTGCAAACACTGCACAACTCAAGTTCAGCAAATTCCTTTGCAGGAATAACATTGTCCCAGATGAGTTCCTCGATGCCAAGAAATCAGACTGAAAACTGAATAATTTGGGCCACATGGACTCATTTTTTGCAGAGGACCCAGAATTATACCAGATTTTATATATTCAAGGCCCTGCTTGATGGTTTCAATAGCAAAAAACACCAAGCACATTGCAAATAATTTTCTTGATAAGTGAATACCTAAGGAGTGTGTTTGGATTGGATATAATCTTCAGAAATTCTGTTAGGATGATGATATCTGCCAGCCACTATCTCCAGCTCCAGTGCTGGAAGATGCAGATGATCCTCCTCAAGGTCAGGGAATAACTGACAGCACATTCCATCCTTTCTTTATACTCTTGTGACAGAAGGGTTTTTTAGGAGCGTTTCACCAGACATCTATTGACCCCAAAGGAAGAAACACAGTTTTAATCCTGGATTCTGGAAGCTGAGTTTTATAATTGGAAGTGTAAAAACAACGTCAACAAAAGACTCTTGAAAAGGATTATAGTGAGACAGAAAAACAGTTCTTTTACCTCTCTACCAGCCATCTGAGAAAGCAGTTTCTGCCATATGGAATGTCATTCCATGCATGTGTGTTGGCCAACATGCTCACATCTTTCATTAAAGGGAAACTACTGACCATGATGCTGAGATTTTGGAATAGACCAACAAACAGCAACAAGAAAAGGTACAGATGCAAAGTATGTCAAATCAGCCCAGTATTCAGCAAAACTGAATATTTATATACAAATAAGTATATATTGCTTAAAATAAAGGTTTCTCTAGTTACATTAACATCTTTCTGATGCAGTCAGGCTACTTTTATCTTAATTCAGAATCTATGATGTAGGTCAGACAACTTTGAACTGAAAGGGCCATTTCCTCAGCCATCTGCCTGTTTGTGACTTTTAAGAACATCTCTCTCATTTCAGAAAGACTTATTGTGTGAGTCCTAACCACAACCCTGTTACTGGGTCTGCACCACCAGACTGTGCATATAACTGTAGATAAAACAGTTTCTCTGCTCAGATCTTATAGCAGGGAAACAGTTTAACAGCAAGAGAGTTTGAGCAAATGCAAAAACAGGGAAAAGATGACTGATGAGATAAAGGATAAAATAAACTGGTGAGTATGCTTTTGCAAGATTTGCTTAATAATTCTTATTCTGAGGTCCTACATGGGAATTAGAACTACTATGAAAAAAACCCAAAACAAAAAAACCTAGATCTAAAACCAACAGAAAACATAACCAGAATCTGTTCTATTAAGAAAACCATGTTTGCATGAGAAGGACTATCACTATGTGCACTAAAAGACAACAGCATCTGCCACTGACTGTTCATCTCCCTTTTTTTCCTGACATGTTGTTAGGTCACCAGCTACGTCCCACCAACCTCAATCACTCATGTTAGACTCCAGTACCAAGCATGGGTGCCCCTGATCATTACATTTGTTTAGCATTAGAGAGAAAACTATCTTTGCTTGTTAGACTTCTGGGTACTTTTGCTGTTCCTTTCAGTAACAACGTGATGCACATGCAAACTCACAAGAGTAAATGCACTCATGAGAGATGGGATGCAATTTGCAGATTTGGCCAGGTCTTAGAACTGTGATGGCCACCCATCCCTGATGATGCTGACATTGCTACCAGCACTCCTGAACCAGCCAAAATCCCCAAACCTACGACTCTGCTCTGGGAAAAAAAAAAGCCCCACTTCTTCATTAATTGAATCACAACTTCTTTCAGAGCAAAAGATACTGCTCACTCCTCCTTAGTCAACTTATCTCTGTTTTGCTTAGAGAAAATAGTTTCAATTCTTTACCTTCTAGTGAATCACAAACAAATTGTTTTCCCTCCTTGCTCTGGAGGAACAGGCATCATAAGGAGTCTGATGAAAGACAGGGTTTTTAACTTGTGATGATGTCCAAGCAAGAAATGAAGCAAGTTTCCCTTCTAAGTTTCCAGACACAGTCACCAAATTCTTATTTTTGAATTGAGCACATGTGATGTAAAAGGCATCAAGTTACAGGAACAATTACCATGCAGTTCTAAAGATACAATTTTCACAATCCCTTTAGAGGAGAACAGTATTTTTATTCTCTTTTTATCCCTCAAACATTTAATAATAATCCTATTTTATACATATTAATTTTAAGTCATAACAAGAATTGGAAAGGTATTGATTTCAATGGGAGTTAAGGGCTAAATATCTTTATACGGAGCCACAGCCTTCATCCTATTAAATCTCTACATTTATTGTCTGCACACAAGTCATTATAAAGCAGGCATTACTCAAGAAAGAACTCAAAAGCAAGAGAAAAGCCCAATTAACAAGGAATTCAATGCAATTATGGAAGTTCGGAAGTTGCCTGGGGTGGTGTTTGCCTGTAAATCATTGGGGAAGATGAAAAGGGAAGAGTTTGTTTCATCCCCACTTTCAAAGTATTATTTTCACTTCAGGTCCACATTGTTAATTTTTAAACCTGAAGTATCAGTACTTCTACAAAGTCACAGGTTAGGAACAAAGATGCCATTAACTGAGTTTCTGGGGGATCTTTATTTTGCAACACTCACCAGTGCTGGGGTTACTTTTATCAGTAGCTGGAGTCCTTGTCTCTAGCTCTTGGATATTTGTACATAATTAAACTGGCTTTTCTGACCCTAGTCCTGTAGACATGAAAACCAGCTCAGCACAAACAGTCCTGGAATTCACATTATAATGCCTGAATTTCTTCCATCCCATTCCACACCCACTTATGTGAAAAAGGGAAAAGAATTAAGAACAGAGAGCCTACAGAAATTCACACTAGATAATTAAAGTAAGGACTTTTTAAAGTATTAAAATCAACCTTATTTTATTATTATGGACTCAAGTCTTCCTATATAAATGGCTTTGTACATTGTCTACCTAACCACAGATAAAAGAAATCAGTTTAGATGTCTGCTTAAAAAACTTGGGAAAACAGGAAACATCACAGTTGAATACCTTTGTGGTAACATCAAGGCATTTCAGGACAGCACAGATTTCATTGCACAATGCTTTTATGTCTTTTTTTTTTTTTTTTTTTTTTTTTTGGTATAATACTGCAATGGGCTTCATACACCTTACAGCAGCAACACACTGGTTACAAACACAATAACAAATATTTCCAGTGAACTTTGAGAGCTGCAAATTCCTGCCTTTCAGCATGTCTCTGTTTTAACCCCTGTGTCAGCTACCCACAGCTTTCCATCTTGGAATTGGGTTCCTATTCCCAAGGTGGATTCAGACACACCATGACCACTCTTTGGCACATGACATTTATTTTCCCAGTTTTTATCCCTAGCACTTCCCTAGAATACAACCAGTTGAACATAACAAGTGTTCCCAGGATGTTCCCAGTGCTCCTGGGACACTGATAACTCTACTCAACAAACTTACACATTTCAGGAGGAAAAGGCTAATTATACTGGAGACTGTAATAGGTGCATGCAAAAAATAGCTAAAAAAATCCTCTAAATTTAATAAAAAATGCTGACAATCATTGAATTTAAATGTTTAAAAAAAATACCCATTTTTAATGCTTGTTTCCAGCTGAACAGGGTCAATCTGAAAAGACTGAGAAGTCATATTTAATTTAAAAAAATCATAAGAAGTCACCCACTAGTACCTCAGATACTAATAAAACTGGATTGGATAATTGTGTAGGCAAAAAATGGTGTTCGTGTAATTTTTTGTATTTCAATAGTAAGGTATGAGAGGAACCAAACTCTTTCTTTCTTTCTTCCTTTCTTTTCTTTCTTTCTTTCTTTCTTTCTTTCTTTCTTTCTTTCTTTCTTTCTTTCTTTCTTTCTTTCTTTCTTTCTGTCTTTCCTTCTTTCCTTCTTTCCTTCTTTCCTTCTTTCCTTCTTTCTTTTCTTTCTTTCTTTCTTTCTTTCTTTCTTTCTTTCTTTCTTTCTTTCTTTCTTTCTTCCTTTCTTCCTTTCTTCCTTTCTTCCTTTCTTCCTTTCTCATTTGTGTGATAAAAATCACTAACTATTTAAAGCGATTTTCATCATATGGATTTTCAAATTCCTAAAAAAAAAATTTATTTTGTGAATGGTTGTCTCAAAAGCATAATACAGAAAAGTCAATCAAATATTTTATTAAATGAATTTGTGTTCTTCAAGTTTTTTTGCAAATTATGACTGA